TTTTGGGAAAATACATGTACCATGAAACACAAAATATAGCAGGAAAAGACTAGAATTTAGCCTCCGGGAGCATTTGAAACTGCGCCTACGCAGGCTGCACCTATTGAAATCAAGTCCACTTGGCTATAGGGTTAGGAGGGATGCCGGTGAGAATCTAGAATGAAACTCAGTGACTGGGCTCGAAAGCGGTTTGTTGCCCCTGGGGTCGAGTGCTTTTTTTTTTTTTTTTTTTTGAAAGGTGTATATATGATAGACTACGTTATCCTCATTGACTATATCCTGGCAGTACCTTTTTCCAAATCAAGATTTAGCTAGGATACTTCAATATTGCAAGGATATTTCTATGCGTTCTTTGGTATGTTTATTTATTTAATCCAGTTCATTTGTTTAGCTATGACTTATATATAGATGTGAATAAATTAGAACCAAGTTGGTCGGAGCAGTGGATGGAAGCTCGGGAAGAACTTTAATGAGTTTGGCGGGATTGTTTAAGTTTTGTTCGCAAGCCGTTTTTGTTAGGAGTTCTACACATAAAATGTAATTGATGTTTGTAATCAAATGACAAGTGCTTTGTTTTTATCTGAATTAAGAATTGCTGTTTTATTACAACCTTAAGAACTTGATGGAACCCTTAATTTATGGGCTCAGTAATATTGTATTATTTCACTGGCATTCGGTACCTTAAATAACTATTTACAGCAGTTTGTTCTGTCCTTCATCACTCACCCTGTCGGGTGCATCTCCACGCAACTAAACACTAGTTATGCGTTTGAAGGTTTAACTCCTGCTGTGCAGTTGATGATAACAAAGAGCTGCACGTAAGTGAGAAGTCAATGTAGACATTGCCTTTTATTCATACTAATGTGTGTTGGACATGCCGACACACATTAGTATGAATAAAAATGATGCTACAGGGGTTATTTTTGCTGCTCCAAATTTGACTTTTGGCCGCTCCAAGGGCTGCTTTGAAATGACTTGGTCCAATCACATCACTGCTCCTGAGGGCATAACCATAGTAGTTCCGGATCTTCTTGATCTTCTCCCGAGTCAGCCTGTTCCTTCCTCTATCCGCTTGTGGACGTGATTGATGGGGTCTTTCTTCTGAACTTTGACGAAGCCATACATGTCTGCCTCCCTCAATGCACAAAAGGTCACCATCTGAGGGAACGGCGGTGTAACGCAGTGCATGTTTGGCCAGGGATCTTTGAAACATGATCAATTTAGCTTCACCCTCCATGCGACCAGCATTACAGTCAATGTTCCTTTGACGAAAGTGGGCTGCGTACCAGTTGCTGTAATTCTCTTTCTCTGGGTTCGGTCCCAGGGCACAACCGAGGCAAATGTTTGAGTAGGCCTCATGGTCGAGGGCTAGGCCCGAATGCAGTTTGACAATGCAGCCCACACCAACGTGGGAACTGCGTCCTCTGGTCATACAAGATCCATCGAAGACGACGTCTATATTAGCAACAGGGTTTGAGAAGTCTGCGTACAGCTTCTTTGCAACTATCACGCTGACAGCGTCACTCGCACTCGCTGAGTTTTCGCGGGCTTTCACAAAAGTCTTCGAGTGCCCCTGGAAGTTCTTGCGGTGCAGGCCACGATGAGACAAGTTTAGGCATGCACAGAAGTCTGCCAGGGCCGATCAACTGAATCTCCTTCATGGCCCTCACGTGCACTTCGAATGGACTGATCTTGGCCGTTCCGGACACTCTCGGTGTAGAGAACTGCTTTTCTTTTTTTTTTTTTCTTGAACTTGCACGTGGCGCAGTTGAGAATCAGTTTGACTGCAATGCCATACTCCTGGTCCGTAGCCTCAGTGATGGTCAGTGTTTTTACACCACGGCTTCCACACTTGGTCCGCGCGACGAGGTAGTTAAGGACCTTTCGTGTCCACGACAGTGAACTGTGTCCCGGCATCGCACTCCTTCATTGATGCCGAGAAGGTGGAACTTGAGCAGGGTCGCCGACTTTTCGGACAAGGCTTGCATGCTTTGCTCCTCTGGTTAGACACGTTGCTCAGCCGCGGAGAAGTATCCGGAGTTGACTTGCACCATAGTTTTAGAGCTCGAGAAACGGCCCGTGGCTGGGACCTGTAATGTCTTCGCCAGGCGACCTGGCCAATATTGCCGCATAGCCACCCGTTCTGGCAGTGCAGATTGCAGTAGCGTCTTGTTCCAGGCATGTTTCTTCCTTTTGAGAGCTTGCCACATGCTCACTTTCAACTGGGCATCGGCCCGCATCTTGTCAACTCGAAACTCCCGCAGCTTTGTAACAAAATGAGGCAACAATCAATGTCTAATATTAGTGTGCAAACAGGAACTAAAAACGTGTGTTTGATCGCTGAAGAGACGAGCGAGCGGCCGACAACAGTGTGCAGGTGACAGTTGAAACTTGTGCTGAGCTGGGCATATGCAGCGTGCATGACTCATTGTTCACGCAGGCCGGAGTAATAACAAAAGACCCCCTCCTTCCCCTCACCGGAGAATGCAAACTCCAGCCAAACGCTGACAGGGTGTTCGGTTAGGTCAGCTGAGCACAGAGTCGTCGTTATTTGTTGTCCCCATCCGTGGAATTCTGAAGTTACCTGCTCTCAACTCTTCCCCAAAACTAGTAGGGCCAGGATTTTAAGTTGGACTTCCCAGAAAGCAACATTGATGCGTCAATCTTGACGTACACAAAGTAAACAATTGAGTGCAGAAAGAGCAAGGTTAAAAAGAAGAGTCAGTAAGTGCTTCTTCATAATTACTTACAGCGCGACTGGGACAAGGACAGACAGAGGAGAAACACAGAAACACAGGACAAGCGCTGTGTTTCTCCTCTGTCTGTCCTTGTCCCAGTCGCGCTGTAAGTAATTATGAACTCTTACCAACTCGCCCAATTGTCCATTTTGCTAAGCGCTTCTTGTCGATGGGGTACAACACCTCGAAGAGCAATATGTTATTCGAACGTTCTTCGAAAAACTGACTCACGTTACGAAGCTTGTTAGCATTGGCATGGTTTTGTCGTGCCCCGAAGCTTCCCTAGGAAGATGGTCCTTTTGTAGAGGCAACTCGGTTGTTTACCATGTAGAATCATGTCGTCAATGAGTTAGCAGGAGGCTCCCTTTGCATTGACAAATCCTGGTAGAGTGCGTGCATCCACAACGAGGGACGTACGATACTCGTCCCCGAGACTGTCGATGAAACGTGAGGATTTCATCAACTGTCTTTAACTTGAGTATTGGAATGTGTTCTAAATTTCTGTAGTTGGCAAGCATTGGGCTTTATTTCATACCATACTTTTGCACCTTGAAATGGTTTCAGTAGACTTATCAAACTCGTGATTTGGGCCGTTAAATAAGCACAATCTTTCGTTGTCACAATGCTTAAGTTGCACTTCTTTTGATTTCTGGAAATCCAGAAGTGGAACCAACTTGCTACCGGGCAGTCCTCAATAGCTGCCATTCAGATAATTCCTATGCTGTTTGCTTTTGATACTATGGGCTGGATTATAATTAAGGAATGCGTATGTTTGGAAATGGTTCTGGACGGTCACGTGGAGATTTGGTTGCACCATTTTTGTATTTAGGAAAAGATGTCCGCACACGCTGTTGCAAGTTTGACCTGGGTGACCAGCTGTACCTCTGCGCTTCCCGGGTTGCTCCATAGCAGAACTTTGATCGCTCCGTGGCGTCTTTCTCATGTGCTTGTGTCACCGGCGCCTTCCGCGAGCTTGCTCTGAGGACTTTTGCCGGGTTTGGCTGCCAAGTTGGCGTGTCGAGTGAGACGCCAGTTGGTTGGCGGGTGGCCTAAGGGTCCTGCAGCACCTGCGCCCACTTGTGTTCCCAGCAGTGGTGCTCCGCTGAACCCCCCTAGGGCAATAGATCTTGAGACTTGTGGAGAATGCCTGTACCAGGGGAGATGAGGATGGTTGAGTTTGAAAAGGCCTCCAGGTCGAGGGATCTCCGGTAAAGTGGACATCCACAAACTACACACTGACGGTTCTTTCATCTCATAGGTGGTTGCAGTTTCTGTAACAATCTGAATTTGAGGCAAAATTGCTTGAAGTAGCAAGCTTGTGATTTTGTAAAAAAAAAAAAAAAACTACAAAAGACAACAGTGAGTGGTTTCTTTCTAATCTATATATAGGCTGCAGTCATCTTTAAAAGTAGAAGAAATATTAGCAGTCTCCAAAAAGCTTGGCATTCAGTTCACAACGGCCTAACGTGTGAAAAAATGGAATTCTGTTCTTGATGCATTTAACCGGGAGACACTAGAATTTTGGTATCGATAACACTGGTCAGGTTTCTCTCTTTCCAGCGCAGTTTCATGGATCTTGGGGTACATTTTTAGTTAATTAAACCCCACCTCACAAGTTTTGTCTAATTCGAATGAAGCCACTCTTCTATATTTCATTCTTTTTAGGGTAAAGGTTAGTTACAACACTGCCATGTTTTTGTTGGAAGTAAGACAAAGTAAGATGGCACTTGACAAAAAAACACAAAAAACATGGCCGTGCTTTTAATTGAATTCTGCGATGCATCGTTGCGGTATTTGAGCTAGGATGGAATGCATGAAATGTTGAGTACAATCCCCTAAAGTTTTCTGGCTCTGTCTATGTGGAACTTTGAATGCATTGCCCGCCCAATTCACACGCTGTCTGTTAGAACTTGAGCTCCGGCTGCCTTCTTCCCAGCCAAGCTCCATGAGATTCCTTGCTTTGCTGCAAGGAGCAAGGAACTGCACCCAGTGTTTAAATGAGGAGATAGTAAAGTTGGAAGACTGTTAAAAGATAAATGGATAATATCCTGCGCATGGGTCATCTTATAGGCATTGTTGCTGCCAACAGGTGGAGTGCAATTGTACCAAGGAAAAAGAAAGAAAAATTGGGGAGTGCGCTTGGATGGGACCTAGCCGGGGGCTGTTGTGCTCGTTTACCAAGGCACCCTTGCACAAAAAGCACAAGGCAGGAAAAGCGGCGTAGGTGGTTTTTGGCTGCATGGCAAGTGTCTTGGTGTGCAGGGGGCGAACGGTGGAGGGGCATGACGGAGGAGGACAAGCGGCCCTACGTGGAGAGGCAGAACGAAGAGAAGATGAAGTACGAGACGAGCATGGAGGAGTACCGCCGCAAGGTAACTTTCGCAACCATTTCGATTCTGCCACTGCATTACCGTGGAGGCTGACACCGCTCGTGGCACGCTCTGCCCAGCAGCAGACCGCCGAGAGCCAGGCGGCCAAGCTGCAGCAGCAGCAGCAGGAGGAACAGCAGCAGCAGCAGCAACAGCAGCAACAACAGCAACAGCAGCAACAGCAACAACAGCAACAGCAGCATGACAACGGAGGGGACTCGGACAGCGGGGAGGACACGTTCCAAGGGAACCGCAGCCACTCGAATCCCCCGTCGGGGGCCTCGACGCCCAGCCCCGGGGGGGGCGGGGCCACCACGCACTCGGAGCACACGGACGAGTCGCAGGGGGCCTCCGGGCAGGCCCCTCCGGAGCGGGGCAACGGGGGCCTGCCGTCCCTGGCTTCCCCCCTGTCCCTGGCCCACCCGCTGGCCTCGCTGGGCTACCAGCACTCGCTGGCCAGCTTCGGCATCGCCTCAGGGGGCTTTGGGGGCTCGCCGCACGCTGCCCACGCGGCGGCTGCGGCGGCCTCGACGGTGGCCTCGCAGTACCTGCCGGGCAGCGGGGCCACCTACTCCCAGGCACACCTGCCGGGCCCCTACAGCTGGACCTGAGCAGGCCTCTTATGCAAGCGGCCCCCCGGGGTTCTGGGGGGGCCGCCTCTCCGAATCTCGGGAGCCGTCGTTTGTCTGGCCCCTGGGCCCTCTCCGTTTTTCTCCTCTGGTCGCCCCCTCTGCGTCCCAAGGAGTTCGGACGAGACTTTTCCTGCCGGCGGGCTCTCTCCCCCGACGCGGGAAGGTGGCCCGACCGGAGCGTGATCCGGTGCTGCCGACGTGTGTGTGCCGGTCGGACGCCGGGAGGCTGGGTTGACCCTTGCCCGTGTCTTCTCCGCCTTTTTTTTTCTTTCTCGTAAACACCCACCAAGTTTTTTTGTTTTTTTTTCTTTCTCATTTTGCTCTTTTAAGTGTTTCGGAGAACGTCATGCCACCATGATCATTTTGTTCCGTGCTCGTGTCGTGCGTTGCCAATTTTCGTACTGTTTGAGTGCAGGTTCTTTCTCCCTCTTGGGACTAGTGTCTGTTTTCCTTTTTCAGTGTTTGCGTTCTAGTGCCACGTCTTCATTAGTCCTCCATCCTAACTTATTTGCCCTCTCGGAAGGCGGGCGTCCCCTCCCCGGGAAATGCAGAAAGGTCGAGGCTCTCTTGCTAGCAGTTCTTTTTTTCGGTTTGTTCCGTCACCTTGGCTTTTATCGTTATTTCCGACAACAGCCTTAGAATTCCGTGCAACAATCAAGTGCGCCCATCGCCGCGAGACTTTGGAAGTGTGTGTGCGAGAGTCTTGACGTGTGCGGAATGAGAAATACTCAAAACCCCCTTTTAACCTCCACGTACGCAGATTTTAATCGAGGTCCTCGCGTCCGCAGGAACAGACAGTATTTTTTGTTGCGTGCGTGAAGGAAACGGTTCTTGGCACAAATTTTTCCCTTTTGTTTTGTACGTGTCTTGTACAGTTGCGTGAGTGCTTTTCCTTTTTTTTTGTTCCGCAAGGTTGAGGCAGCCTTGTCACTTGTTTAGAAAACCTCAAAATGATCACAGTAAATAATGTGATAAGAATTTTTTTTGTACTGATGTTGTTTTTAGTGCTCGAAACATGTTTTGTCTCATGCAAGTGGAATAAAGAACTTTTGTAGCTGTTATGCGAGCTTAATAGTATGTTTGATAGCCGCTGTTAGAATATCTGCTCTGGGCAATGAATACTGCAATTTGAAGAAGAAAAACATTTTTTTTTTGTTTCTGAAGTTTTGCAAACGTTCAAAAATGTTAAAAAGTTTGGGGTTTTTTTTTCTTTTTTTTTGGGGGGGGGGGGGGGGGGGGGGCGGGATTTGACCATTTCATAAAATCTTCTCATTCAGTTTTGAAAGTGTTCAAGCCACAGGTTTCCTCAATTCCACTTGGTAATTCTGCTGCAATAGACCGCTCTAATCCAGTGAGTGTCTGGCCTGTTGGTTACCCATTGTCCCTGTACAATATGATTTGTGTGCCGAGAGAGTGAGAAGAGCATAAGTGCAGAGCTGCGACAGACAGACGAGCTTGCAATTGCCGCGCGCTCTCCAAGCAACGCCACGCAGGTCATCGTGTAACATAACGGCCAACCAACTGTCTGCATTGTCATTTCCATTGCTGTATAAAGTGTGCGAAGAATGCAGATAGAGGTTCTCGTTTTTCTTCCTCATTTTGTTTTATAGTGACTGTAACGAGTTGAAGCAGGAATCAACCTTGTGTATCACTTATATTTTTTTTCCTCCTCGTGATGTAAATAGTTCTTCATCTCAGCAGTGTGCACTTTGAAAGGCTCTCGTGTGGTTTATCGGCACTTCAGTGTGTTTGTAGCACTCCTATTTCCCTGTCCCCAACCAAAAAAAAAAAAAAAACTCAAATGAAATACAGCAGTGTGTGTGTGAAAAAATTGCCAAAATTTTAAGACTGAGTGCAAAATAAAGCGTAATTTTTTTTGGTTAATTTCATTGCCTGTTACGACAGCTGCGTGACCCTGCAGGCACTCAGTCTGTCCGTTATCCGACCGACCCATCAATTGTCCAAATAGTTTACAAGAGATACAAATGCTTTCCTCAACAATTTTTCTAGAGCGTGGAACGAATATAGCGCAATCGTATATGCGTGGAATAGTCGAAAAAACTCTGTTGCAAGATTAATTTTGTTGGCTGCAAACTCGTGTTATGCAGGTACAAGAATATCCATCATTACTGCGAGGATATTTATGCATTAAGAGCCTCTTGAAATTTATGCCTTGTTTGTTGAATTGCCCGACATCAGTTTGCTATTGATAGCATTTTTTGTTTCTAGGTCGGGCATCCCCCGTTTTTAAGAAAAAGTCTGCAAGTGTAATGTAGCATGCATCTGCGGCGAGAAGCGGTTGGAATTTCTCATTATTTATTATTTCATTTGCAACGCTCAGTATTCTACACGGATCAAATTTGTGCCATGTTTTCAACGGGTGGTGGCAGCTTGTGTGGACGAAATTCGCCTCTTGCTTTTTTTTTATGTACCACTGTTCATCGCTTGCTTTGAGAAGACAGTTTGCTGTGTAAATATATTGACAAAAAAAATGAAAATGCAGTCGGATAAAACTTGGCCTCCTTGGGCTTCCAAAAAAAAAAAATAAGAGAAGACTCATTATTTTACGGTGGGGATGGTTTGTGGTGGGGCTCCATCGGGGTGACAGAGTGTTGCATTCCTTGGATCTTGCAAGTACCTGAATGGTTGCATCCCGCATCGGCCCCACAATAGGCACGAACTACGGGGGGGGTTTGGCTCTCAGAAAAGCAAGTGCCTCCAGGGCCTACGCCTCACTCACCTTGTATGTGCATTGTGGCGGGTGCTTGCACATATCGGCAGGTGTTACCGATGAACTGGAGCAGCCAGAGTAACTACCTGCTCCGATAATGCTCAGAGGCGGCCATGTTTGATCGAAGGCCACACTGGGAACCAACCTCACTTCTGCAGGAGGCCTGCTGCAGCGTGCAGAGAAGATATAGTGTGGTGTTCCATTATTTGTCTCGTGCTTCTCTCTCTGCCCTCCGTAGCAGGCGAAAAAGACATCCATTCGCAAGCTGTAGTTGTGCATTGTTTGGTCAGAGGTGCCTGGACGTGTCGGTCACTCCGCGAGTGTCGCAGACTGGAGCAACGTGATCGTCCTCCCTGCCGTCTGCTTCCCACACTTTGGAAACATGTAAAACAATGACTATGACCCAGTGGCTACACATAATGTTCAATGGTTAATACACTTGGTTCGATTTTAGAATGGGCTGTATTTTGTAAAGCAGGAAGCATGCTTTGCCCAAAACTGCCCCTGCAAGGGGAGGGAAAACTGAAATGGGTAACGGTTACATACTAAATGTGTTCTATTGGCGTGGTGATGGGAAAAGAATGTTTTTGCCCATACTGTAAGCGGCAACAATTGATGATGGCGGCACCCTTGAGAAAAATTACTGCCACAAACCTCCGAACCTCTTGTTATTCAAGTAGTTTTCTGTATCTCGTAAGTACTATGCGGCACATAGTTCTTGGGAGATTTGGTTGTTGGAGGCAAAAGCGGTGCTTTTGGCGTGTGGAAGGTGTACGTCTTGATAAGATATCTAATTTAAAATTCACCTGTTTGTATCTGAATTATTCACAGAGAGGAAATTAGGTTCCGTCAGGAGCTGAGCTTTTTCTACGGTTCTCGGGGTGAAAATATGGAATGCTTTTGGGGGTACTGACACACCATGATACCTTTAGTTGGTTTAAATGAAAAACCACAGTTTATCATATACAGATTACCCACTGTAGATTAAACCTATGGTCTAAATTACCGCTAGGCATTGGGGAATAGCTGGACACAATCTAGGACATTGTGTCAATGATAATACAGAACAACCCAAGCTATACTATTTATGCCAGCAATTTAAATTCTCGACAAAATAGCTTTACAAACGCGAAAGTCCTTCATTTATTTAACTTTTTGGTCCCAGTGAAAGCTCCCTCACTCTAGATATTGGGAAAACTACTTTTTCTTTTTTTTTTTTTTTGGGGGGGGGGGGGGGGACTGTTTGTTCCTTTTGTAAGGCATTTGGTTTGCTTTGGCCCTCGTGATATGTGCCAATCAGTGGACAACAACCACTGGTGATCAAAAGAGCTTCTTTCACGCAGACAACCGTTTTCTTCATCTCTACGTAGAATAAATAGTGCGAAAAACGATCCAAACGGTGCATGCATCGATGCGATTGTTGAATAGCAATCCACAAACATGCACAGGTAATACAAATCGCTTGGGTGTGAACAAGAGTTTCAGTAAATGGTTCCAAGAATGCCGATAACGATACTATTGGGGAGTTTTAGGGAACCGTTTTTGCACATCCCATACGGTACGAACTGCGCATATGCGAGTCTGCTAGCGCACACACATTTCGAGCTGGACGGCCCATTGTAACTGCATCGGATGTGCATAAACTGTTCCCTCGGGTTCAGAAAGCGTTTATTGGCCTTAGTGAAGGAAGGGAGGGAATCGGACCTGTACCTTACGAGCTTGAATCAAGGCCAGGGAAGGGGGTTTTGGGGATTTGTAGATAGGCTGTCAGCCCAGCCTTGTGGATAAAATCTAAAAGAGGTCATGACAGCGCGATGTTGGCAGGAGGACCTTTAGAATGAGTCCGTTCCTCTAGGTTGGTGACGTCTGGTGGTATGTGTTTGCGTCTGATCTCTTCGAACTCTGGACAAGCACAAAGGAGGTGATACTGGCCGACAGGAATGACGGGGTCGTTGCAGAAATAGCAGTGGGATGCTGTGGATTGCATAGACCAACGTGCCATGCGCGCCGGTGTGCATGCTGTGTTACGATCCTCTGCAGCAGCACAGTGTTTCCCCTGCCCATCTTGCTCGGGAGTGGATCTACACACGGAGTCAAGGTCGCCCTCGGGGTCTGTTTCGAGGTTTGTTTGGCTAGTTGCTTCGCCTCGGGGTCGTAGTCTGGTTCATCGCAGTCTTCACCGAGCTCCGGCGCGAGCGAGTACCTGTGATCTCGTAAGTGACTTTGCACACTCTTCGACTTGTGGGGGATATCTAGCTGCGCGCGAGCCTTAGAGTGAGCTTGTTCATTGCCCTGTATGTCTGCATGGGCGGGTATCCAGGGCACTTTGATGGTTGTGCCGTCAACAGGTAGTTGAGAGGCCATCCGCCGGATCGCCTTAACCCTCTTGTTCGGTGATTGACGGTTGCGGCATTCTGTGAGGGTTGCCGCCGAGTCAGTAAAAATGTGGAGGTGTTTGGGCCGGACCCCTTCTATGATGATGCGTAGCGCAAGTTGGATATCTCCAAGTTCTCCACCCTCAACCGATGTGCCGCCGGGCAATGTCTCGGCCATAGAAAGTTCTTGGCGGGGAATTACGACTGCGACGGAGCAAGCCGGCGTGGGGGAGGAGACGAAGGTAGCGTCGGTATACACTATGAGTCTTTCACTGGTGTCCGTCAATTCTTGGACGAGTTTGCAATGTTGGCGCACTTGGCATGCTTGCTTGTCAGGACAGCTGGGTCCCGCTCCCCTGGGTACCGGTCGGTCGTCCACGATGCAAGCGTCGTCACTCCAGGGGGGATCCATTTCCGGAAGTGGGGGAAGGGCTCGGTTGTTGGAGCCTATCATTTCTAGGATCAGACGTCCGGGGGCTGAATGCTGAAGTCGCTCTAGGTGAGCACGGGTACGCCCTTCCACAGTTTTCTGAACCGTGTTGAGCCTTGCGTTGCCTTGAGTATGCTCAGCGGGGTGTAACGGGGAAGGCCGGTGATAACGCGCGCTGCGTTGTTGAGGACTTCCAGTTTCTTCCACTGTGTCTTGGTGATTCTGTAGTGGAAGGCACCATAGCAGATCCTGGATACGATGAGGACTCGCCATTTGGCGAGCCACCTTTTTGTCAAGACCACCTCTGGTGCCACAAAGCCTTATGATGTTAAAGGCCGCCTGGCATTGCTGGGTAACCGTTGTCAGCCAGGTCTTGGCGGTGCCGTCTTCTTGGAAATAAAGTCCTAAAATCCGTACCGAATTTGCTGATATGATAGGGCGGCCGTCAAGGGTCAAGGGAAGAGAAGAGCTGACGTCTGCATCTCTTTCTTTTTGGGGGGCTACGACGACGTAGCTCGTCTGCTCCGGCGAGGCAGTTAAACCTACGCTTTCAAGGTGACTTGCCACGACGTCGAGACCACGCTGAAGGGTCCGTTGTTGAATGTCGCCCCGTACTGTCCAGAGTGAGATGTCGTCTGCGTATATAGTGAAGCGGAGATTGGGAAGCTGTTGGAGTCGATTAGCGAGGCGCGCCATTGCCAAATTAAAGAGGAGCGGGGACAGAACAGAGCTCTGTGAGGACTCCCACTTTGTTTGGCTTGGGCGCTCCAAGGTGCTTGCCAATCCGGACTGCAAAGGTGCGGCCCCGAAGAAATGAATGAGGGCGTGGCCTCCTACGCCGAGTGCTTGCGCTTCTTGGATGACAGCCCAATGTGGGACGCTCTCAAAGGCTTTCTTCGCGTCGATCGCGACGACTTTTCTGATGTTGAATTTTTCTCAAATGGGCTTCAGGATGAGATCTCGGGAGAGTAGGAGGAGACTTTCCTGCGTCCCCATGCCTGTCCGAAAACCTGTCTGGGCCGGATGGAAGGCTCCTGTCTGTTCCAAATGCCAGGAAGGGCGGCCAAGTAGCATTCTTTCTCCTAGCTTGCAGACACATGAGGTGAGAGAGATGGGACGAAAATGAGCTAAGTTCTGTTCTTTTGTCGGGCTTGGGAATCAGGATAACCGTGGAAAGTTTCCATTGATCTGGAATATTTTTGGAGTGTTACATCTCATTGATGTTTTCGAGGAGCGTGGTCTTTGCGGCTTCGGGAAGGTTTCGGAGCATGGTGTTGGTGATTCCGTCTGGTCCTGGAGTGCTCTTACGTTTCCCGTGATGCAGTGCTTCCTCCATTTCCCCCATGGT